TGACACCACTAACCATTCGTCAAAAATAACTCACGACCGCGTTCACAATTAAACGAGAGCGTATTCCCCGACCTTCGACGATGCGCGGAGGGATTGATTCACGATCCGCAAGACAAACCGGCCATTCATCGCTATCGGCAATCTATTATTGTTATTCGTAAAAAAAAAATTTACGAATTGTTTAACCGTTCATTCGGCGGGGTATCTCATTCGCTTTCGATTGTCCCAATAAAGCTGCGGAATAAAGAACAGCGTGTTGATAATGGGACGCGCAAATCGGAGCAATGATACATTTAACGGATTCCAAATATCCGCGGGGAGGAAAACAAGGGCCCGTTTTGTGGATGGAAATACTTTGGCGCCTAGGCGCTGCCGGCGAAGCGAATCGAGATTTATCGATTCGTATGCTGCGAATACGTGCCATTTCCATTGGCCGAGGAGAGCGAACGAGGCACGTCGACAGCCAAAACATTTCTGAAATAGATTGCACGTCGTAATGCGTATATCTAGGCCATATTTACCGTAGAACAAAACCCTCCGGAAACTCCGAGAACACAAGTGCCTCTCACTGCACGCCAAGAGTTGTGAACAAGTATACAGTTGTATGGGTAGTAACTAGTTTCTAAGTTAAAAATTTACCTATTTAAAAGAAAAAATCATTTACATATAAAGTAAAAAGAAATTAACTTACCCAATCCTGATAATTTAAGTAGAGATACAGATCTGAAAATAATTTTGTTAGGATTCTCAAAAGAATTATGTAGAACTACTCAAGCATAATGATTAATATTGCAAAAGGTTTTGACATTATAGTAATCAGCTCAAGCGGTTTATATAACTTTATTTTAATAGTCCCATAAAATTATTTTCAGATCTGCTATCTTGCATAATTTTTAAGTATTTTGACAAAATCGTTCTTTTCCTGTATATTTATTAACTGTTTTATACGAAATTAAATCATAATTATTCGCGGCGTACATGTAACGCAGCTGACAATGAATATGAAAGCGCGAACATGTATATATATAAAATATTTTTCCCATAACAAACTATGCCTGGACAACCATGTAATTTCTAAGGTCTGTAATTTCTAAGACTCGGCAATCTCATAAAGGCGTAACGTCCGTAATAAAATTTTGAAAATAAACATTCTCGAACAACGTGGACCGTTGGAGACCTTGCGTCGCGCTCGCAGATGTCTTCTTAGCTCAAATTGCTTTTAGTCGCGGCTCCCTTCGTGATGCATTCTAGGAAGTGCTACAGAGACGGTCCGTACGGACCCTTTTGTTTACCGTCCGCGAACCACGTCGTATTGTCGTAACGTAATTGGCGGAACAAGCGCAACGAGGTCCAGAGATTGATGAGCCCCTTTCTTTTCCTTGAGATTCGTCAAGCAATCTTCGGAATTGCGCTCTTGTTACACGACTTGTTCGATGACTTTCGTTGCAATCAATTGCCCACACGTGAAGAACGTTTTGCTGAAGTATATCTAAAAATAGTTTTGTTGGATCATTAAAATAATAATAACGTAGTGCAGCTTATTATCAACGCGTTCTACATAATTATTTTGACGCGATCCAACAAAATTATTTTCATATCCGTATCTAGTTAAATTTTTAGATACTTCAGCAGAACCGTGCATAAGTTATAGTCTTTAGATCGCATAAATTAATTGATAGATCCTGACATATTAATTAATAATTAATATCTATATAAATTAAAATAATTGCATAAATTATTTCCATCAATTTGCATGTCTCATTGTCATCACGGGATCTTTTTCTGGGATATTTTTGTTCGTTCCTCTACATCTCGACTTTCAGCCACTCGGTCTTCTTATGCTTGCGTTTAATCCTAAATGCCTATACCTAGCTCTTTTTCACGCGACCACTTAAGGCTTGAAGAAAACGGGACGTGGGACCGGAGAGCCGTCCGCTCTCTTAATCGCGGCACTCCGCAGCCGCGCGGCCGGTATTATTATGTGGTCAACCTATTAGGGACTCGCATTATCAGCCCCCGTGTGAGTAGGTGCATAAGGCCTGCCTCTCCCTCGCGCGCCGCCGACCGCCGTCATCGCGCTGACAAAGGTTCCACGATTTATCGCGCATCCGCGAGCAAATGTCCTTTGAGTAACGGCCACAATAGATTTTACGATGTGCGCTCGTTAAGCAAACGCGACGAAGAAATATCGGCGGTTCTCGGACTCTCTTCGCTCTCTCATTCCTCTGAACGAGTTAACGATAATCGGCGATAAATCGCGCGCACTATAAATACGATCGTCGCGAGGCTCAACGGGCAAAATATGAGATTTATTCTCTCGTAAAATCCTCTCGCATAGAATCGCGTAAATCTATATACGATTCACCGTTAGTTATACACGCGACCGCGGGGTCGCGGGCGCGCGACACACTCCGCGGTCGTTCGGCGCTCTTTTGCGGCGGTTTTGCTGGTTTACTGATGTAACCGGCCTGCGTAATCGGGGGGGAAACGTTAGGACGACGGTTAAGTCGGAGCACGAGAGCACGAGGAAAAGAGAAGAGGAGGGCGCGGCGGCGGCAGCTATCGTCGAATCGTCACCGCGGCACGCGTCTCGGGCGCAGCCGGCGCGTAAACCCGGACAAGGTCCACCTGTCGATGAAAAGTATCGAGAGGAGTTCCTTTCGCTCTCTTTCCCGTTTCCCCCCTCCCCCCTTTCTCGTTTGTTCGTTCGTTCATCCGTCCGTTCTCTCAACCACCGAGCGAGGAGGAGAGGCGGCGCGGCGCGATGTAACCGCGTTGAACAAATAACCTGTTACGTCGTAACAGTTTCTTCGCCCGGTCCCGTGTATAATCCCCGTCTCGTTAGCGTGCCCTTGTACGCCTCTCGTCTTCGGTCGTTCTCCGTTCGAAGGAGAGCGTGGGAGGGAGAAAGACGGAGGAGCGTCCGTCCGTTCGCCGGACAACTACCTGTCGACAAGCGGAAGCGTAACTACCGATACTCTCTGCGGGTTTAGCAAACCGTACTCCGCTATATCCGGCCGCTGTATTAATATACAGTATGCGATTTCGTACACGCAGAGAGAAAGAGGGAGCGATAATTATTTTTTCTATGTCTACAGGCCTTCCGGCGAATTAATCCTTATTTATCTTCACGTTTAAACAAAAATTAATTTAATTAGCACAGAGGTATTAATAAGTATCCGGTCGATTCGTGTGTATTTCTATTAAGATTCCCTCTCGTCCTTAATGGTTTTTATTAAGGCGATACGTGATCCTTGGAGTATAAAATGTAATCGAGGGGAGGGGACTCTCTTCGTGGATTGCGAAGGAGATTTCTCATCGGGTTTCCGTCGGGGTCTATTCTTTCGCTATTGCGCGATATACATTATCCAATGCCGCGAATAGAGTCATCATTCGTTTTGTTTTACACGAAACATTACGTGCAACGAGAAGCGTAAGGCAATTAGCGAATTCAGATTCCGGCCGATAAATCAGTAATGCGCGGCATTATATACAGCGGCAATCAGTCTCATCTATACTTTCCGTGAGTCCATTTAGCTGTCATAAATATTGACTTGTATACAATTATGATGGCGCAAAATTTATCTACGATATATATCATCATGTATATTCACGTACAATAAGGGAATTAAAGTTATTTTGTTATCGTATTTCCTTCCAAGCTGAATCGTAAAATAAAAACGTTGCATATATATATATATAGTTAGGATCTTATCCGTATTTGAAACTTCATTCTATTATCAGTCTATTATTTCCACCAGCATTGAAATAATTTTTTAAATTAAGCTGTTCAAGCAAACCGTACGTATAAAAAGACACGCGATAAACGCGAAAGTTTTCAATTTGTTATCTCTTATCGTTACGTTCGCGAAATATACATTCGATTTTAGATACTCTCGGCGACGTTGGCCAGTTTAAACAAACGGCCCCCGTTAGATATCCGCTGCGTGTCGCCAAAAACGTCGAACTGCGGGAAGCAAGCGTGGGTTGAGAGTGCAACATATGTACAGTGCGGCGCATTATGATGCCACTTTTGTCGAGATCCTTCGTCCTTTCGATTCTCTCCCATTCACTCTACCTTGCGCAGGGACGCGTCAAAGTACCGAAGAATTTATTCCATGAATGCGAAACGAGAGGAGGCGAAGGAGACGAAGAGATTCGGGACGGTGTCGGATGGAGCGCGCGAGAGAAAGAGAAAGAACGATCGAGGTATATAGGAGGTATATAGAATTGAAGTTGCAAGTAAGCTTCGTAAGAAGCGAGCTACGATTTATTTGACGCGTCGCGCCGACCGTGGCGGGCGAGAGCTAGAGTGGTTTATTTTATAAGACCAGATTGCTGGCCGGCCTCGCTCCGCCGGAATAGAATAATGAACGTTTCTCTCCATCCTTCGTAGTACAACCTCCTCCTCCTTCGCCTCTTCCGTTCAAGAGACCGCGGAATCCTCTCTCTCTCTCTCTCTCTCTCTCTCTCTCTCTCTCTCTCTTTCCACCCTTCCTCCACGAAAGTCGAGTGTCGTTCAAGAACGCTCCTCATATATTGGATCACACTGTGGTCACGGTTCCCTTTCTCGTCGGGTGAGACTAAAATGTAACTTTTACGTCAAGCGTAACGTGGCAGGAAGGAAATATATTCCGTAACAGTTCCAGACGGATTCGGCGACCTTGCTATATTTTGCAATATGGATCCTTATCTCGAGAATCATCCTTGCGCGATTTATAGATCTCCGCGTGTGTTTGAATGTACCCGGTCGGAAAACTAATTCAGGCGCAGATACGGAGAGACCGTTCTCTCCGGCCGGTTTCTCTCCTCGCAAATGCCGCCGTCTTATGTCGATCGTGCGTCCGTCGCGCGATCGAATTAACGATAATGCCCGTTAAAAGTGAGTTACATAGTTAATCCTTGGCGCACAGAACGTACCGCTAAATCGCTCGGTAATCACGTCGAAGAGACGGTAGCCAATTGCATTCGACGGAGGGGAATTTCAAATAAGAACTTACCGGCCGCGCGGAGCGATGACTCTTTCGGCGCCGTCCGCCCGTCCCGTCGTAAGATCGTCGAGGCACACAAGAGATCTCATACCCCGGACGTGGCACTTATTCCATCTCCTCGCTCCGCTCTTCGACTTTGCACAGATCCTGAAAGCAAAAAACCTTATACGGTTAAAGCGCGATAGATTATTATAACTCATCACTGATGTGCGCATCATCTATTAATTACATCTAACGATTGATTATCGAGAAGTATAAAAAAGATTAACAGCAGCTTTGTGCCTCATTAATAATTTGCCTTATATTAATAATTTACTTTCAATACTGATAATAATAAATTTACTTCAGCTTACATGCCAAGAAGAAACTTGATTTAGAGTCTGAATTTAATCACACACATCCATCCATTCTTCATTAATTAATAATTAATTCTAATATTTATTTTGTCTAAAAATTTACCTGGTATCTATTTATTTTAATTTACCAAACTCTATCGCAACAATAAATTTCTTAATGCTTAACCTTATTTTTTACCAGTCATCATTTCGTTCTAAAATTAAAATTCTTCGTTATCCTACTATTAACATTCGACATTGAACTCTTGATCTGAAGATCACGCAGAAAACGCAATGAAAAACAAAGCTGAAAATGGACGATTTTACGTGCGTGTGTAACTCATCGCGCGTAAATATGTATTGCTTTTCTTATGCGTATATATCCCTTCCTCGGACTTTTTCAACGCACATCGCGACGTTACGAGATTCGCCATAGCTACTGATGTACTGGCGTCGTCGCCGCGAAATTTATTAATAACCACCAGACACGCGCGCGCGTACGTATTTATATATTTTACGAAGGCAGGCGCGCACTGCCTTCGAAATGGATTCCGAGAAGAAAAACCCTGCCTACGCGCCCAGGCTTTACGCCGATTAAACAACGCGCGTCGTGGCCGCTGCGCATTACAAAGTTTTTGCAATAAAATGTCTTGGATATGGCGAGACGTTTAAAGTGGCATGCAGCGCAATGACTATAAATCACGCGTTGTGCTCGTGTCAAACGTGTGGGCCATCGTGTGTCGTTATATGAAGTATTACGGTATTGCGAAAACTCCGCTGTGTTAACGAGAACGAAGCGTGATCAAGCTTGTCGTCTACGCGGAATCGTGATTCGAGATGATAAATTGTGCACGCGAATCCATTAAGACTGTGTCCTCTTTAGCTTCTAATATCTTGCGTCGAGAAGAATTCAATGAATTTTCTTTTTTATCACTTCACACGGTTAACAAAAAAAAAAAGAAGATATGAATAAGTGGAGGAGCGTCAAATGCGGTCGAGGTTGCATCTTGATGTCTAATAATGTTTCTATGTAAATTTTAAATACTTTATATACTTTCAATTCTGTAAACGCGCCTATTACTGTCGAAACTTAAAACGTAATCATAAACTGAAGCTGGAATAGTTGTGTTACGAATTAAATTGATCGTCAATTTAATAATGACGCTAACAAGCTCTTGAAACGCTGTAAAGAATTGAAAAAATATATTTATGTTTAGCACCTGATATATCTCAAGTGTAAAAAACAGGATTCTTTGAGAGCTGGTGAAATTTTCTCTGCAACGAGTCCGATAGCGCGTCCCCGGCATGGAATTAGCATCGAAATATCTGTTTACGGCCGCCGAACCAGGCGACGATATTATCCCGAGTGCGTTCGTGTCGGTCGAACTTGGACGACTGCGAAATCGAAATTGTCAGAAGCGGCGGCGTAAATTCGTCACATTCGCTCTCGCGGTTACCCGCTTAACCGACCGCTAGTCTTTTAAAGCCGCAGCCGCCATCACCTCGCAATCGCCCATCGGGACGGAACTGTGTGCAAGATCGTCCCGCGTTACTTATGAAACGTGAACCTGGCACTCGATTTTAAGAAAACAATTTTTTTTATATGCATTAAATTAAACTTGTACTTATTTGTACCACATCTCTGTTGTACCTTAAGGGATTAAAAACTATAAAGGGTTGAAAAATGCAAACCCCACTTTGAGATATTTAAAATCCGCAAGCGGGTTTCAGAATTGTACCACCTTCCGTTTTGTACCCTTCAGAGTGATTGTACCAAATTTTCAAAATTGGGGTAAGAGCCAACTTCAGTTTCGCTTCTGAATTGAAGCAGAAAAGTTGCAACTTATGAAAGGGTCCTCGGCCAGCTTTAGAATATTCCGAGTTGACCCTGAGGTCGGAATTCGGCGAGATACACCAGCCGGGTCCGAGCCTCGCTTCTGAATTGAAGCAGATAAGTTGCAACTTATGAGAGGGTCCTCAGCCAGCTTTAGAATATTCTGAGTTGACCATGAAATCACTGAGTAACGGTATATTGGCTCTTACATCTATTTTGAAAATTTGGTACAATCATCCCCTGAAGGATACAAACGAAACAGATAGAAGTACAAACGTGTACGATCGACCCGGTAATCGCTTGCGAATTTGAAATCTTAAAAAATGGCGAAGTTAGCTCTTACCTCTATTTTGAAAATTTGGTACAATCACTCTCTTAAGGATACAAACGAAAAGTGATGTGATACAAAGCTTAATTTAATACCAAGTTTAATTTAATGCATATTTGAAAAAATTTTTTTCTTAAAGTCGGGTGCCAGATTTACATAAGTTCCCGCGTTTGCATACATTTCCGCCTTCGACGCACACTCGCGCACCGTTTTTACATACGCGTTCTTACTATTCGAGGACGTTTGCGGAGAAAACGCCAGTCAGAGCTTCGATTTTTGCGCGGATAACGCGCCTAAATCACACTTGTTTATAAGCATCACAGAATTTAAGTAAACTCTAAGAATATACACAGAGAAATATTTCTTTAGATTTAACAAATTTTGAAAAAAATTATTTCTCACAATTCTATTTTTTTCTATAGCTAAACAATATAAGTTAAAGCAACTACAAAAATTGTATTAACAAAATAATATTTTATTTACAATTATATTGTATCAGTGAAATAAATGTGAGGCAAACAAATAGAAATACTGAATGTAAAGAAATATTTTTCTCTGTGTACTGAAAAAAAATCCATTTTTTGGTGAAAAAAAAATCAGTCAATAGTTAATAATTACGTTTCAAGTCCGAACATTTAATCGACGCGTAGTTTAACGGCTGGACTTATGAAAAATTCATATCGAATTTATTAGGCATCTAAGATCCAGCCGTGACTGCGAAAAGGCGCTCTCGAATTCAGTTATGATTTTCACATAGGCGGTCTTATTTAAATTATAATTATTATTTAAATTCAGAGTTTTATATTCGATTGGTAAAATTTTCGAAAGATCTTTTTAAACAGTCAGAGATTAAAACGTCGAGCAATTAATTTCGTATAGTCGATACTGTTTGGAGTTCGGTAAAACGGAGACTGTCGGAATCTGACTTCGGGAAGAGAGACGTTAATCTACAATTTCGCAAGAGTCAGCCTGAATACCACCGGATGCAAGAAAGACTCATGCGAGTGCCACGCGATCGTGGACAATACGGGAGGCGAGGAAACGCGCGCGCGTGTAATTCATCTGGTGCGTGTATATTATCGTTCGCGCGGACCCGCTCGCTCGCGGCGTTTTGCTCGTGTAAACACCGGAAGCGAACACTGTTACTCGCTTTATGATTCGCTCAAGACAATCTTCTCGCGGCACTTCCAGTCTATCCAGCCCCGGGTATGCTGCCCGGCACTATACTGCCGGTTTATAATTTAAGAAAAAGCACCGCGCGGCGTTTAAAGCCAACGATTATTTTTGTGCCGAGTTTCAGTCGACGAGGAGGGGAGGGGGGAGAGGAAAGATATCCCGGGATATCTGAAATTCGAGCGTGTTACGCTCCACGACGGACGGCGCCAACTTTTAGTCGAGAGACTTAAGTCTCGGCCGTGGAGATTAAGTGCTCGGGAAGCACCATTACTTTACGAAATGTTCGGCGTGTTCTCCGTTGGCCGGAGAACGCGCGTAGCGTGGAGCAAATGATCGCGGAGTCGCGAGCGATTTACTCCCCGACGATAATCTGATTCATCGTCGGGGGATCTCGACGTGCGTTTCTAGATCTCTCCTTTTCCCCTCTTTGTCGCACGCGCGCGCGCGCGTTCCCTTTCTCGATCTGGAATTTGGATTAAAGAAGAGACTCGGACCCCGAGCCGACACGCGAGGGAAGAGATTAAGTAAAGCCGGAATAAATTACCTCTCCTTTCTCCCGCGCCTGCTAAATAAGTCGCCTGGTCTGGTCGAGCGACGCGTAGGGGGGTAAATTGTAGCTCTTGCACGGATTAGAGAGTGCAGCGAATAACTTTGTCCCTTATAGGTAGTTCTATACAAGTCGACTTTCATTCAACGTTATACTTTTATTCGACGTTACAACCTTTACGATCTAGCCGCGCATCGTCGAAACGCGACGAGAGAGTCACGAGGAGAAGTTGCCGGCCGTATCGTGGCGGGAATCTCTCTACGCTCCAAATTAATTAGTCGATCAATTAACCGATTACCTCGCCGCGTTTCTTAATCGTTACCTGCATGCGCGTGCGCTCTCTTATTACTAGCGGCGGCACGAAAGAAGGGACTCTTGGCGGTAATAAAACGAGAAGGGACAGCGATTAAATCGTCGCCTCCTTGCCTTCAAGGTTAAGGTTCACGGAGCTGTTTAATTATTTGTTCAACGATCTCTATCTTTAACGATTTTATTACGTCGTGTTGGTTTGTCGCCTTACGCGTATCTGAGGTGTATTTAACGTATCCGCTGTTTAACGGGGGAAAGATACGCTCGTCTAGGATCTAAAATACACTTAATATAGATACCCGCTGTTTGATACTATATCGGTAAAGGAACGCTCCGCCGGAATGAAAATTTTCCATCGGAGACCGCATTCGGTTCGGTTGCGACTGCCCGATCGAACTCCATCGGGGAAATAAATGGCACGAGTCCGCTTTAATCGACCAACGAGGCAATACCAATTAAAGTTGCATTCCCGAACGATGTCTTCCCGCTCGCATATGCGTGCACGCACGCGAGCAAAACCTTGTATAGCCTATCGATATACATCGCGCGCGTCATCGCCCCCGGTCCCTTTGGCCACTTCCGATGACGCGTATGCATTTTCGCACATTTCCGCGACGCAGCTACAAGCCTACACGCGCGTCTACATGCGTGTTTTCATCGTTAAATCGATCACGTTTTATTATCGCGTCAATACATTTAGCTTGGCATGCCATATAAAATCAATATGATACCATAAAATATATGATACTATATAGGATAAGGACACTAGCTTTGGATCATTCGATAGATAAAGAAATTCATATTTTTGTCCAAAATATCAAACAATATTTAATAGTTTTGATTAATTGTGAAGAATACTTTATGAATTATTTTATTCAATTTTCTCAGTACTATTTTATATTTTTTAATTTTAATTAAATAAAATAATGAAAATTAGATCCTTGGATCTAATTACAAATCAGACTACCCGCAAACTAGTGTTTGATTCTCACATCTAATGCCCTTATCCTAAAAATCAGTTAACATATTCTATTTTAATATTACTTCGCTTTGCTGAGTGAACAAAGTGATTCACGTTTTTTTTAAACAACGATTATTGGAAAATCGAAAAACTTTTGGCCGAAGAGTTTCAACGCGGGACGTTTCAGTAAATCGCGATTATATCTCTCTGTAATAAAGTTTCTACGATCAATTTTCACCCGCGACGACGTGAGATACCCGTCCAACTCGGCTTTGCGAATTTTCTGACGACAGTGTCCGCCCACGTACACCTCGATGCGTCTGCATCTTTATCTATATAAGTACGGAGCAGGCTGCGTACTCACTGTAATTGCGATCTCTTCGGAGAAAACCTTCTTCGATAGCGTCTTGAAAACTCCCCTCTCGGCCCTCTTCACGTTCCCCGGCTCCTGCCTCCGACGATGCCTCTGGCGCTTCTGGCTTTTCTCAATCCGCTCTCAGGAAGTCCCCGATTCTCTCTTTCTCACCCTGTCTCGAGCTCACCGGGCGTGCCACCGAGACGATGCTCCTCGTGTCGATCGAGGAAGAAGAGGGGTTGAGGAGGGCTGGCGCGAGGAAGAAACGTGCGCTAGCAGAGTCGCTAGCCGAGAGGAGATTCGCGTCCGCTGCGGAACGTACGAGAGCTGATTCACTGTGCACGCATTCCCGCTGTTATTTCAGGCCGTCGCGTCCGACGGCGGCGCGTCGTCGTTACAGATCCTCCTTCGCTCCTCTTTTCCACGCGCGTTCCATCCTTCGGCTCTCGCGACGGATTTCTCGAAAAATTCTCGCGACTTATCCACGACTATCCTTTAATCCCGTTGTCACCGTACACAAATGGGTCCTATTCATTCACTGACACCGTCGACTATCACTCTCGAAAGACTCTTCGGTTTCTATCAGTCCACTGCGAGTGTCACCGGTTTTCACGGTTACTATCGAGTGTATTGACCGGCACGGTAAAATTGTTCGGTATCGATCGATCGATCGATCGGCGGCGGCTTTTTGAGGAGCACGATGCTCCTTGCTGACGACGTCTCTTTCTCAGTCTCGAGACCACGACGTCGCAACACTGACGGTATACGCGGCTATACTACTTCGTGGCCAGCACTACTACTCCGAGAGGAGGATGTGCACGAGGAAAGCTCGGGGCGAAGTGCCAGAAGAGCCCGTCGCTTGAAATAACCGCTCGTCCACGCTCGTTCCCTCCGCAACCCCTCGTGGGTTTAGCCTTCCCCTACCACACGACTCTCGGATGCCGCCGAGTGCCGAGATCGCCGGCAAAACTCACCGTACCCCACTACCATTCGGGAACAGCACCTTCCCTCTCGCTCCCTTTCTAACGCCGCGCGTCTCCTCCGCGCGCGCGTTCCTCCTCTTTTCCTCTCTTCTCTCCTCCCATCTCCGATCCTCCCGCCGTCGCTCGCTCGCGCGCGCTTCGTCGTTGCGTCGCGTCGCGTCGCGTCGCGTTGCGTTGCGTCGTCTGTATCGTGCGTGCATGCGCTACTCAATATACGCACATGTGCGCGCGATGCAGTTTTCGCGCGCCATTCCGAGATGCGCGCGAATGCCGGGACGGGGCCTCTCTGAATCCTCCTTACGCGTTCAGGTACTTTTCGAATTTGCTGGAAATCAATCTATATTTGATCTTTCTTCACATAACTATTTAGTTATTTATCCGTGAGAAGAATTTCAGATAAGATAGAAGAGAGATAGGAGAAGAATAATTTGAAACGTCGAACTTTCTCAAAGAATCGAGCTCGAACGCGTAGAACGGAAGAATGCATTTTACAGATAATGCCCCGTCCCGTATCGGAGCAATCGCGTGAATCGCCACCTCGCAGGTAATTTCGAACGCGCTTGACGGCCACCATCTCTCGCTGGGCCGCCCCTATTTTTCTTTCGTCCCCTCGTGCCATCGTGTCCGGAACACATTCGGGACATGTGTTGCCCGAACGTCGACCACCTTTTCGTTTCCCTCGAGGACACCCGACACACCATGAACGGTGACGGTGGTGAAACAACCGAGATTACTAGCTGCCTCTCTTTCTCTCCCGACTGTGACTCCTCAAGTGACTTCTCCCTTTCTCTGTTTCTGTTTCTCTCTGCCTCTCCGCCTTCGCGTCTCTCTTTCCCACCCCTTGGCGATGTCTGTCTCCGTCCGTTATTTATAGAAAGCCACGATGACTCGCCTAATCGTAACGACCTCACGGCGCAGACCTCACGGATACCTATTATTATCCAGTCGAATTAATGAAACTCCCTCCCTGGCCAGCCAGCGTGCTAATTTATACTTGCCGCTTTGTAAAAAAAAACGCGCGTCGCTTCGTATTCGTTCGCTCCTTAATTTCTCCAACTCTATCTGATGTATCGGTACGCTGATACTTTTGCTCAGATCGCATACTTCTTCTCTCGGCTTGTCGTCGCACGGTTAAAACGGGCTTTCGCTCGCGATACTTAATCGACGGTGTCGTTAATGAACCGCGCGCGCGCCGCGAGATAACTCATCGCGCCGCGGTCCCATTCATCTCCCGCGTACGAACGCCGTGACTCCCCTCTCCCTATGTCCCTCGACATGATTCATTGATTTATTTTTATAGAATTTAATGCTAAGTGGCCGCGACGCGGCGTATACCTAGAGATTTATCTAGGACACGCTGAAAGAGCAAGGGTCTTTGTCGCATCACGTTCCTCTAAATATAAATCTTTATGGTGCCCCGTGAAGGAGGCGAGATCCCTCCCGATCCTTTCGACTATGCGTGTCGCGTCTACGCGTGTCCTCGTACGAATTTATCTCGCCGCGCCGTGGAATAAATCCCTCCCCCCCGCGATTACCGCGATCGTTTCTCTCCGAGAGAGCCATTGAAAGCGCGTAATTTTATACAGCCGAGAGCTTGAGAATCCCGGCGGAGCAGACGAGATCGGTACCTTCGATGGGTATTAATATCGTGGGTTTCTACAAGCACGCCGCCCTTTCGTCGCGAGATCCGTATCTTAACTCGCGTTTGTTTTGCCCCCTCGTACGAGGACAGATCGTTATTCACGACGGATCGTTATTGTGGCTAATTAGTACGTGTCGATGGTAGATGGTAGATTTGAGATAAGACCGCTATCTCTTGCTGCCAAGCTCGTCCTCGCCTCGACTTGCTGCCATTGGTCGAAAACAGCTTGAATTCTGTACAGTAGACTGTTTACTTGCATTGCACTTCATTTATATCACGGAGAGAATTTTATTTTAAAATTTATCCTGAAAATCACGTTAATCGTAGGAGAACGTAATATTTCGACGAATTTTATATGATTTTCACTATTTTTTTTTAAATATATACTACAACAAATTATTGTAGTGTACAGTAAAATTTGTCGAAATACTATGTTGTCCCACGATTAACAAAGCTTTATACAATGCATGTGAACGTCAAATCTTCTATTATCGGAACTAATATACTTAAATGTAAATGAAAAAATGCTTAACTATTAATGCTGTAAAAGGTTTTGACATTATTCTAACGTTCAGTTTGGCCGTTTTACATATTTATTTTGGCCCAACACAATTATTTTCAGATCGGTGTCTAGCTAAATTTTTGGATACTTCGACAAAATCTTTTCGTATAAGTATGTCAAGTATGCTTCTATTATCGAAATTAATAAATGAGCCTCTATGATCCGAACCATTCAGTTATCTTATCATCTTCATCTTGTTTTCTACATGTCCGGATAAGCGGAGTTCTACTGTATATTGGAGCCTACAATCTTCTGTAAGGAAGAACGGTGAGATTTTAAGTCATTACATTCAGCCCTCGTGATCGTCGGTCGGGAACCTGTCCTAAATGCCGGTTCCGATAACGTTTTATTGATTCCATCGCTCTTCTTCTCCACAACCAACCGGAACCATAGTATCGGCTCGATTGCCGATTACAATGAGAGTAGTAAATCGTAAGTAGTAAGCCGTAAGAAATTAGCTAATTATAGTCGAATATAAGAAGAATAATCGACTATGATTGGTCAATTTCTTACGGCTTACGACTTACTGCTCTCATTGTAAACGCCCGCCCGTCCCGATTCGCTAAACTTACACGCGGGCGCCATTTATTCCTCACTATACGTCTCCGTGAAAATAATGAACTTGACATAGCCGCTAATAGCGCCGTGTGCACAACCATCGGCCTTCGAGACGTCGAATCGCCGCGGCTCGCGCAGCGCGAGCAAACGCGATCGCGCACGTGCGTAATTGCGAGCGCACGCGACGCAGTGTAGCGTTTATTACGGCCGAGGTTTCTGTTTCGTTGGGCAGGTGCGCGCTCGGCAAGGGCGCCGCCGACCGTGACGTGATAATTGCATCGAAGAGGAGGGGGGAGCCTCGCGCGCGCGTACGGAACCCTCGGAACCCTTTCTGTGTCTAAAAAGTTTCTGTGCTAGCCGTATAAATCAATTTAAAATCTCGTTAAAAAGTCTTGTTTCCGAATGTATATATTAAAGAAACATACAATTATATACCTATAGAAAGATTCGAGGACAATACAGATCCTATCTTTTCGGTTATACGTTTTGAAGATTACGCTACGATTAAAATGAATCGTTTGCAGATTTAGAAAACTTTCGAAAATCAAAGCGGAAGAGATGGAATCCTTGCGGTTCCGCTCGCAGGATCACGATGTCCCCGGGAGGCAGGTCCGTAGTGCAACGCGCGATGTAATCTATCCGGGAGGTGACGACAACGTCCTGACAGGCGACATGTTTTTACAGTTACTTCCTGTTACTGGTCATAACAACCGATCGGAAAAGTCACCCCTCCATCGATGGCACTGATTTCGATTGGGCTTCGAAATGAATTTCTGCTGTGCTATCTAATTTTTTTTATCTTTTTTTTTTATTAGCTTTTTAACTCCGAAAGCAGGAAGGTTCTCACAAAATGACCTGTTTGTCGACGACTTTCATCATCTTTTTTTAAATCTTTCCCTCGCATTTCACTCAGATTTTTCCAGAATTTTTTTAAAAGGAGTGCCGCGCAATGAGAGAAGTCTTTCCGGCCCGGTGGTGTATCCGGGGCTGCGGTCCGCCTGTTGGTCCAGCGCGCCTTCTCTACCGAAAACTCTCCTTGTGGGAAATCATTCTCGAGCTCGGCACAGGTCCCGACACACCCATGAAATCTCACGCTCACACACCGTGGAAATTGGACGAAACATCTTGAAGAGTCGTTACCAAACCATGCATACCGTATTTGGAAGTAGATTTGTATAAGTCTGGCTTTAATTCAAAGCGCTCGAAAAATGTCAGGATAATCTGTCTTTCATTTCTCTCTTCTAATTAAATACGCATGCGCATTTCCATGCACGGCGTCTTCTCATCCAGCACATCCTGTACCCTGCATCTCTCTCGAATTTCTGCGCTTCTCACTCTATCCCTCAGGGGTTTTGTATATCTTGACTTTATTTTCTGTCGATATAAATTTGTTCCTCCATATGATGTCTCATATGAGGTGGTCTGATATGAGTGATGTGGTCTTGGCTATTGGCTTGTGGTCTTACCTCCTTTGTTATGTCCCTGTTGCTAAAGGTGTCGACGCCCAGGTATTTAAAGGAAGATACTTGCTCTATCAACTGGTTGTTGATTGCTAATTTGCATTGTGTTGGTTCTTTTGATATGACCATTGATTTTGTTTTTGGTATTGAGACTTTCATGTTGTATTTTTCTTTAGTAACGAAAAGGTTAAGAATCTAGAAAACAAAATTTGCAAAATGATGAATATACGATCAATGAAATGAAAATAAAAAACAGAAATACAAATAATCAAACAAAATAAATATTTAAATGATTTTAACGATTGCAGGTTTAAAATTATAAAAACAAATACTCACAAACAATATAAAATTAAAATTTTGTGAAATAAGAAAATATAACATACAAGTTTTGAGTTTATAAAATCGAAAAACGGTTGCAACTTACTGTTTCGATCATTTGCAGTTGTCCACAATTGTTCAAATTCCGCTCTCTTCTTTAATCTGAACAGTTGGTTAGAACAATTTTAGGAATATCTTTCAAAAATCTCAAAACAAACGACGAATTGCTGTCGTCCTCGGGCTGTATATGTACGTCCTCTGCAGGATCCACTAAAGCTGGCGGGACATTAGAAATCGTTTAGTAATTATATATATATATATATATATA